CAGTTTCTCCTGGCCATTCCTCTGAGGCTGAGAGAGTGTGACTTCCTATGGGGAAACCTGTAGTTGACGTCCAGCTGGTTCCCTTGCTCTGTCCTTTGCTTTGCATTTAGGGGAACCTGTAGTTTAAAGGTAAAGTTAAAAGGTAATTATGTCCCACTAAATGCAGAGCAAAACCAAGCCAAGGGGACAGAGCAAGGGAACGTGCTTCCTCTAGTCTCTGCAGAGCCAGAACTGACTCCTTACAAAGCTTTCAAAGGCGGCTTCCAGGGCCTCGTTAGCGCAGTAGGCAGCGCGTCAGTCTCATAATCTGAAGGTCGTGAGTTCGAGCCTCACACGGGGCAGCAGGAATTTTTCCTGCAATTAAAAATAAAATATAACAAAACGCAACACCTTCTGTTTCCAAAAAAGCATCCAGGTTTATTATTGCAACCCACTTTAACCTTTGTTTGTTTGTTTGTTTTTTTTTAAGGAAAGCTCCTGAAATTGAAAGTTGCAATGGATTGAAACTTCAGAGGGAAATACAGATGGGAGAAAAAAAATATGTTTTTGGAGAGATCAGAAAATCTGGGCATCACCTGGGTGCACCATTCAGGGATAGCTGTGTTGGCCCTTTAGCAAATTCAAACCAAAATGTATCAGTGGTATGCCTTCATTGCCCAACCCAATTGCACAATATACTTTTTGTATATTTTTGTATATAATTTTTGTATACCTTTATTGCCCAACCCAAATGCACAATATACTTTTTGTTTACTTTTATTGCCCAACCCAAATGCACAATATATTTTTTGTAAATAATTTCTGTATACTTTTATTGCCCAACCCAAATGCACAATATACTTTTTGTATATAATTTCTGTATACTTTTATTGCCCAACCCAAATGCACAATATACTTTTTGTATATACTTTTTGTATACCTTTATTCCCCAGCCAAAATGCACAATGCATTTGTTGCAAGCTTTTGCATGGAGCTTGGAAAGCTTGCAACACAAGTAGACTGTGCATTTTGGTTGCCCAATGAAGGTATCACTGATGGACAGAAATAATCCAGTTTTGGGACTGCTTTAGCTGCTAGGGAATCCTAGGGATTGTGGTTTTATTGTGGCACAAGAGCTTTCCAACAGAGAAAGCTAAATGCCTCCCAGAATTCCCTAGCATTGAGCCTAGCCAGATAATTTGCAAAAAAACATCTTTGATCAGAAAGAATTAATGCAATCTGATCTGAGCAATTTATATTCAGTTCCATTGAGGGTTTAGGGCTGGGAAGTTAAGTGTCTTTAAATTTGCATTTGGAGTTGTTTTTTTAAATGCAGATTTACCTGGGATTAAGTATAAATCTCCTTGCCAGATTTTAATGGAATTTATATCTGATTAAATATCATTAGGATTGCACTGGTAAGGTGATTTGGTTTGAAATGCATGCTCCTTGCAAGGGATATGGTAAGAAATACAATGTATTTGATATAACATAACCCATGGATGAAGTAACTGGTTTTAACA